TTTTTTTTGAGTTGGAGTCTCACTCTGTCACACAGACTGGAGTGCAGTGGCCACTCTCAGCCACTGCAGGCTCGACCTGCTGGACTCCGGCAATCCTTCCACCTCAGCCTTCCAAACACATAAATCTTGAATAATATGATGAAGTTTGCTTTTTGTGCAGGAGAGATAAGGACATATCAGGTAAAGGTGACCACATGTGCCAAGGCCCAGAGGCATAGAAGAGCACAGTATGTTCTTAGAAAATTTGAAAATCACTGTTGTAAGTTGTGTTCTACCAAAAATGCAATATAGTGACCATGCAAGTTTAGTCAGGAAGAACTTGCTTCATAGGGTTATTATAAAGATTAAGTGAATTCACTAAATATTACTTCTATACTTATTTTCAGATACTCTCAATGCTCAGCAGTACAGAGTCCTCATTGGTAACCGGGAGTGGATGATTAGAAATGGTCTGGTCATTAATAATGATGTAGATGATTCCATGATTGAACACGAAAGGAAAGGTCGGACTGCTGTATTGGTGGCAATTGATGGTAAGGTTTTCCATAAGTATTCTATAACTCAGTGTTGTGATCTCAGTTATGGTTTTATGTGTATTTTTGAGAGACTATGAACTACAGATGTTATTTAAAAATTGCTTACTTAAAGGCAAAGTGAAAATGTTAGCAACACATAATTGTTACTAATTGTTTAAAAATTCTCTTGCATATGCCATCCTTTGTTATTTTCTTCCCTAGTCTATGTTTTAAATATAAGCTAATCAAGGATTTTTTTAAAACCTAAAATAGGAACAGTATAATAATATCAAAGTAAAATAATATTCAAAATCCCATCATTCTAATACAATGTCAGTTTTAATTTCATATATTTCATCCCTAGTTTTGTTGAAATATATATATGTATGTGTGTATGTGAGTGTATTTGCAGAATTACAATATTAATACCTATGCTATTTTTTTAGTAGGTACATTTCATATTATATAAATTCCACCTTGATAAAATTGAATAAAAATTTAGAATCTCTTGTAAACATACTATTTTATTATGCTTTATTTTACTTAATTAATATTTTCTGGCCAGGCTCGGTGGCTCAGCCTATAATCCCCATACTTTGGGAGGCTGTGGCGAGTGGATTGCCCTGAGCCTGTGGGTTTGAGACCAGCCCAGGCAACTTGGCAAGACCTTGTCTCTACAATAAATAAAAAATTAAGCTGGGCTCGGTGGCTCAGCCTGTAATCCCGTGCCTTTGGGAGGCTGAGGTGATTGGATTTCCTGAGCCTGCGGGTTCGAGGCCCGCCTGGGCAGCGAGACCTCATCTCTACAATAAATCGAAAAATCAGCCGGGCATGGTAGCGCATACCTGTAATTCCGGCTACTTGGAAGGCTGAGGCGGAAGGATCTCCAGAGCCCAGCAGGTCGAGGTTGCGGTGACCGGGAGCGGCCACTGCACTCCAGTCTGGATGACAGAGTGAGACTCCAACTGAAAAATAAAATAAAATAAAATAAAAAATAAAAAAAATTAGCTGGGCATGGTAGCACATGCCTGTAGTTCCTGCTACTTGGAAGGCTGAGGCGGAAGGATCACTGGAGCCCAGCAGGTCAACACTGGGGTGGCCATGGAGCATTCCATAGCACTCTAGCCTGGGCAACAGAGTGAGACTCCAACTAAAAAAAAAAAGATTAATTAATTAAAAAAATATATATTTTCCAATGTTGCTATATAACTTTATTTTGATACTGCATAATTTATTAAATGTACACACTATAATTAATCATTTCTCTATTGTTGGAAATGTACGCTCTTCCGGACATTTCATTCTTGTAAATAGCACTGCAATAAACATCTTTGAGGTTTTAGGCTCTTTCTTCTGTTAAATTACTTCTTAGGATATATTTTTAGCTGTGTGATTTTTTTTTTTTTTTGAGTCGGAGTCTTACTCTGTTGCCCAGACTGGAGTGCAGTGACACGATTACAGATCACTGTAGTCTCAACCTCTTAGACTCAGATGATCCTTCCACCTCAGCCTTCTAAACTAGCTAGGACTACAAGCATGTACCACCATGCCCAACTAATTTTTTGATTTTTTTGGTAGAGACAGGGTCTTGCTATGTTGTCCAGGCTGGTCTCAAATTCCTGGGCTCAAGCAGTCTTCCCTCCTCAACCTCCCAGAGTGCTGGATTACAGGTATGAGCCACCATGCCTGGTCTAGTTGTGGGATTCATTACTCAATATGTGTAATCCTAGCTAAATATGAAGGAAGTATCTTACTATGGCCTTTTTAGTTCTGGAAAGAAGCAGAGAATACAATTTTACTTTTGTTTTTTAAACCGAATAAAATAATTAAATTTGAGTAATATTTTTTCAGTATAAAATGCCAGTTTTGTCTCTACTCAGCCTGCTTTATCTTAAGAAGAAAAAAAAAACATTAGTTTTCAGTTTAATTTGCATTTAAATTAGCTAAAGTGTTGGAGCTATTGGCAGATACCTGTTCTAAGGAAAGAAAAATAGTATTTTAGCATCCAGTAAGGTCTTGCTTTTTATTTAACTATTACTACTTTATTAGTAACCCCTACCTCATTCTCTGAAATTTCCATAACCAAATATAGAGGTTTGTTGCAGAGTTTGTGGTAAGAAGTCTGTGTGGACTCAGAGATATTTTGAGTTAAGCCAAGCCCTGAACAACTTTCATTTCTTCCTGAAATTTTAAGTCAAAATATTATTCTACTTTCACTGTATTCCAAGTTCTCTTATTTTCTGTTACTCCCATATTAGATGAGCTGTGTGGCTTGATAGCCATTGCTGACAAAGTGAAACCTGAGGCTGAACTGGCTGTCCATATTCTGAAATCTATGGGCTTAGAAGTAGTTCTGATGACTGGAGATAACAGTAAAACAGCTAGATCTATTGCTTCTCAGGTAATTGGTTTACTTAGTTGTTGGAGTGACGGTATTTGGTAACTTCTAATTCTTGATATACATTTTATTTCTTGTCTTTAAATACTAAGAAATTTATATTGCCTGTTATCGTCATTATCACATCTAGTTCCTTAAAGAAGAATTAGCATGCTATGTTGGATGGACTTTGTGTTACTCTTTTTTTTTTTTTTGAGTTGGAGCTCACTCTATCGCCCAGACTGGGGTGCAGTGGCACACTTCCGGCCACCCACAGCCTCGACCTGCTGGGCTCTGGCAATTCTTCCGCCTCAGCCTTCCAAGTAGCTGGAACTACAGGCGTGCACTACCACACCCAGCTAATTTTTTCATTTATTGTAGAGATGAGGTCTCGCCAAGTTGCCCAGGCGGGTTTCGAACCCATGGGCTCAGGCAATCCACTCACCTCAGCCTCCCAAAGTGCTGGGATTACAGGCTGAGCCACCGAGCCCGGCTGTGTGTTACTCTTATAAGTAAAAAGTACTTGCTTAGGTCGTGGGATGCTTGAGTGACACCATATACCAGTTTCTGTTGATGCTTCCTTGAAATGTTGCTCTAATTCTTCCCCAACACTACCAACCTAAGCTAGGCTCTCCTTATCTCATGCCAGATAACATGGCAATAGTTTCACACATGTCCCTCTCTAGTCCATTGTGAAAGCCACCAATAGAACGATTTTCCTAATGCACCACTTTTACATACCATTTTTCTGCTCCTAACTCCCACATTTGCCTTACCTTCAAAGTTTTTCATTCTTTTCTACTTTGGAATGCCTTCTTCTAGTAAATAACACAAGTAACATATGAATACTTTTTTTAAGTGACAGAGTCTGGCTTGTCGCCCAGGCTAGAGTACAGTGATGTCTTCTGGAATCAAGCAATCCTCTCCCCTCAGCCTCTCTCATATTTTGGACTACAGGCATGTGCCACCATGCCCAGCTAATTTTTAAATTTTCTGTAGAGATGAGGACTTGCTGTGTTGCCCAGGGTGGTCTCAAACTCCCAGCCTCAGGCGATCCTCCCACCTCAGCCTCCCGAGCAGCTGGGACTACAGGCATGCCACAATACCTGGCTATTTAAAAAAAAAATTTTGTAGAGATGAGGTCTTGTTATGTTGCGCAGGCTGGTCTCGAACTCCTGGCCTCAAGCAATCCTCCCTGCTCAGCCTCCCAAAGTGCTGGGATTACAGGCATGAGCTACCATGCCTGGCCATGAATACATTCTCTTATAAAAAATACAGAAGGATATAAAGTAAAAAGTTTATCATCCTTTTGCCATGCTCCCTCTCCCCCAGCTGCTGCTCTTCATATACATTTATGTTAATACACAAATTTATAATTCTGGTTATTTCAACATCTATTGAATCATTTTGTACAGATTTTTTTCAATAGTTTGCTTTTTTAAATAACAATATTGCTTCAGAGCTTCGTTCATATTTGTTTTTTAATTAATTTTTTTTAATTTTTAATTTTTATATATTTTTAATTGTAAAGAAGTGGGGTACAATTCAGGGTTAGGTATACAAACGTTGATTATGCATGTACCCTTGTTGATGAGGTATGCCCCTCCTTCTCCTAACAGTTTCCCTCAACTGCTAATCCCACCCCCCATCCATTTTTGAACATGTACAATTTTTTTTTTATACTGCTTCATAGAATTCCATGGTATAGAAGTATAATTTATCTAACCATTCCTCTAATGATAGACATTCAGGTGATTTTGAAAATTTTGTTGTTGCAGGCTAGGCTTGATAGCTCATGCCTGTAATCCCAGCACATTGTGAGGCCAAGGAGGGAGGATTGCTTGAGCTCAGGAGTTCGAGACTAGCTGGAGCAACATAAAAAATTTTTAAAAATAGCCAGATGTGGGTGGTACACTCTTGTAGTCCCAGCTACTAGGGATGCTGAGGCAGAAGGATTGCTTGAGCCCAGGGGGTGAAGACGCAGTAAGCAATGATGGTGCCACTGCACTCAAGCCTGGGAGACAGTGTGAGACCCCAACTCACAACAAAAAAAGAAGAAGAAGAAAAAGAAAACTTTGTTGTTGAAAACAGGGCAATAATGAATATCCTTGAATATGCATCCTTTTGTACATGTACAAGTCTGTCCAAAATATAGCTAGAAATGGAATTGCTAGACCAAATGATGTTCTCATTTTGATAGATGCTGCCAAATGCCCTCCAAAAAAGATAGTACCAATGTATACACCAACAGTGTATAAGAGAGTTCATTTTTCCACATGCTTGCTATCACTGGATATTACCAGTCTTTTAAAGTGTGGACATCTTGTGGGTGAAAAATGATGACTCATTATTGCCTAGTTATGTTTCAAGTACTCAGTGTTATTTCTTGAAATGAATTGAGTTTATTTTCCTCATATAGGTTGGCATTACTAAGGTGTTTGCTGAAGTTCTACCTTCCCACAAAGTTGCAAAAGTAAAGCAGCTTCAAGAGGAGGGGAAACGGGTAGCAATGGTGGGAGATGGAATCAATGACTCCCCAGCTCTGGCAATGGCTAATGTTGGAATTGCCATTGGCACAGGCACAGATGTAGCCATTGAAGCAGCTGATGTGGTTTTGATAAGGGTAAGTTTTGTGGCCTGACCTTCGAAGATTGTGAGACTGCCTTACATGGTATATCACTGTAGTGTCTTAAAGCACATTGAACACAATGATCCTGCCCTAATTCCTGTGTTCCTTGCCACTAAGACTAAGAATATGGGGTGGGAGTATGGGAAGTCTTACTAATTATCTCTTCACGTTCTCAATTCAGCTAAGCAACTGAGAATTACAAACATCTAAAGTGAAGAATAAGATTTAGGAATGTATTTACAATAATATTATCTTCAACAAATGTTTTCTGAAGTTATTTTAATGAAATATAATCCTTGTACCAGCATATACCCCTAAAAGTGTTTTCAGAAACCTTGGGAAATTTTCTGGAAAACGTCTTCCAAGGCTGACTCAAAGTTTTAGCAATATCTGAGATTTATAGTTAATTCTTATATTACCCTAAGGTAGATATAATCTTCAATATAGACAGAATCAAATGTAAAAGTTATTAGGTAAGTTAGATTTTCTCACTAATACCATAAATATTTTTGTTGTTAGAATGATCTTCTGGATGTAGTGGCAAGTATTGACTTATCAAGGAAGACAGTCAAGAGGATTCGGATAAATTTTGTCTTTGCTCTAATTTATAATCTGGTTGGAATTCCCATAGCTGCTGGTATGTATGTAACTCTTAACTAGTATTATTTTTTCCTCTGAAGTCATTAGAGACGTGTCATATTGGAAGTTTATCGTCTTCTTATTAGTTTTGAGCATAGCTTTTCTTTGTAGCCTGCTGGTGGTGTGAGAGGTAGTGTTAAAAACAATCATTTTAATTTTCAGCAATGTTTGTTACAGTCTAAGAATGTATAAGCATTCTGAGTGGGTTCTTTTTCTCCTCAACTTCATATTTTGAAAAATTTTAAATCTGCATAAACACTGGAAAAAATTGTACAATGAAAATCTGTATACCCTTCACCTAGACTCACCAGTTGTTAATATTTTGCCACATTACTTCATCTCTTTCTCCATATATTTGCACAGACATATGTATTTATTTACTGATTCATTTTTTATTCTGCATCAGTTTTTGTGTTATTACAGATTGTGATTATAGCATACAGAGAACTTTTTGCTTTTCACTTAATATTCTGTTGTAGTCAACAGGTTTTTTTAGGTTGAAAAACAAGATGAAAGAAAGTAAATGAAGGAATGTAACCAAGAAAAAGTAATTTAGAACTGTTTATTAACATCCGAGAATCTCCTAAACGTAGGGACTTGATAGGAGTTAATGATATAAGAGAAATAGTTATCACTTTCTTCTTGTTCTCTCTGGTTTAAGAGCCAAAGAAACAAATGAAATGACATGAGAATAATTATAAAGCAGTTTATCAACAAGGACACACACATGCTGAGAGGACAGAGAGCAAAAGAACAAAAAATTGGCAACAACATAATTTTTCTAGCACAAAGAGGATAAATGCTGAAGAAATATTAAACAAATAAATGATTTGTATATATGTTTTAGAAACATGTTGGTAATCTGTTTAGTACTGTTTATTCTAACTAACCCAAACTTGTTTCCTAGGAATTTTCATGCCCATTGGTTTGGTTTTGCAGCCCTGGATGGGATCTGCAGCAATGGCTGCTTCATCTGTTTCAGTAGTACTTTCTTCTCTCTTCCTTAAACTGTAAGTATGATGGCTTCCTCACGTTTATATTTTATATTACTTTTATCACCCTCCGTCAGTCTTGGTAGGTTTTACTCTTTTTTTATTTTAGAGTCGTAGTCTTACTCTGTCACCCAGGCTGGAGTGCAATGGCATGATCACAGCTCACCACAGCCTTGACCCCCTGGGCTTAGGTGATCCTTCCACCTTAGACTCCCAGGTAGCTGGGACCACAGGTGTATACCACCAGGCCTGGCTAATTTTTTTTTTTTTTTTGTAGAGATGAGATCTGGCTGTCTCAGCCTAAGTTTTATTCTTGGATTACCTACCAGTAATCTGACTTTTACTTTTTTTTCCCATGAAACAGTGAAAAACTAGGCTGGGCTCAGTGGCTCAGCCTGTAATCCCAGCACTTTGGGAGGCCGAGGCAAGTGGATTGCCTGAGCCAGTGGGTTGGAGACCAGCCCTGGCAACTTGGTAAGACCTCATCTGTACAATAAAATAAAAAATTAGCTGGGTGCGTTAGCATGTGCCTGTAGTTCCAGCTACTTGGAAGACTGAGGTGGAAAGATCGCTGGAGCCCAGCAGGTCAATGCTGAGGTGGCCATCAGCATGCCACTGCACTCTAGTCTGGGTGATGGAGTGAGACTCCAACTCAAAAAAAAAAAAAAGAACAGTGAAAAACTAATCACTTCATGTTAAATAGTATAGTATTGGAACCAATTGTTTTATTGTAATGATATTTGGCTTATAATGGAATTTTGTACATTGAGGAACTTATTCATGACAAAAAAATCAAAGTTTTATATCTTATATTTTTCTAATGTGTCAGACAGTCACCAACATGTATTGCAGGTTCATTGATACATGTTGTGCATTAGCAATTTGACATCTTCCACCTGGTGTTTTTCTATTCAAGCAGACAATGCAGTCTCATTTTCTTCCTCCCACATTAATAATATGTTCTTTTTTTTGAGTTGGAGTCTCACTCTGTCTCCCCAGACTGGACTGCAGTAACCGCTCCCGGCCACCGCAGCCTCGACTTGCTGGGCTCTGGCGATCCTTCTGCCTCAGCCTTCCGAGTAGCCGGAATTATACAGGCATGTGCTGCCACGCCCAGCTGATTTTTTGATTTATTGTAGAGATGAGGTCTCGCTGCCCAGGCAGGTCTCGAACCCGCAGGCTCAGGCAATCCACTCACCTCAGCCTTCCAAAGGCGCAGGATTACAGGCTGAGCCACCGAGCCCGGCTTCAGGTAACTATTTTAAATTTCTAAGATATCCTTCTACTTTCCCCCAAACACACACACACACACACACACACACACTTTACATGTATCTCAGTATATAGTCTATCTTTTTATTTGCTTTTTCATGAAATTTGAATGGAAAACTTCAAGGAAATATACATTTTTCGAAAATGTGCTCTTTTATAAGTTTGTCCTGTATAATCACCAGCAGTTTTTTTATTTCCCCTTAGAGGGGACATCCAAGTGCAAAGGATTAGTAATAAGAATGGCCAGGTGTGGTGGCTCACTTCTGTAATCCCAGTGCTTTGGAAGGCCATAGTGGGAGGATTGCCTGAGACCAGATTGGGCAAAATAAGGGGAGACTTCATCTTTAAAAGAATAAAATTAGGCTGGGTTCAGTGGCTTAGCCTGTAATTCCGCACCTTTGGGAGGCTGAGGTAAGTGGATTGCTGAAATCCGCGGGCTTGAAACCCGCCTGGGCAGCGAGACCTCATCTCTACAATAAATCAAAAAATCAGCCAGGCGTGGTAGCGCATGCCTGTAATTCCGGCTAATTGGAAGGTTGAGGCGGAAGGATCACCAGAGCCCAGCAGGTCGAGGCTGCGGTGGTCGGGAGCAGCCACTGCATTCCAGTCTGGGTGACAGAGTGAGACTCCAACTCAAAAAAAAAAAGAATAAAATTATCTGGGCATGGTTTCATGCACTTGTAGTCCCAGCTACTTGCCTCTCACTGAGTTTGAGTCTGCAGTGAGTTTGAGTCTGCAGTGAGCTATGATTAACTAATATGCTCCAGACTAGATGATGGAGCAAGACCCTGTCTTTAAAAAAGAATGAGAATTATTATTAGTTAACAATGAATAATTAGCTATATGATTTCACTTCATGTAGTTTATGCATAGCAACCACAAGCACCAAGTGGGGTTAAAATCTATTTCATTGGCTCTCAGATCATGTGACTCCACTCAATTCATTTTGAGCTACTTTCTAGTAGTGACCACCTCTATACATTTCATACCAGGCAAACCTTTCTTTTGTGCATGTAACAAGTATCTAGTTCACAATCAATTATTTCACACTAGTACACTTTGTGTTCAGTTATAGGAAACCAACTTATGAGAATTATGAACTGCATGTCCGGAGCCAGATAGGACAGAAGAGTCCTTCAGAAATCAGCGTTCATGTTGGAATAGATGACATCTCAAGAAATTCTCCTAAATTGGGTTTGCTGGACCGCATTGTTAATTACAGCAGAGCTTCTATAAACTCACTACTGTCTGATAAACGTTCCCTAAACAGTGTTGTTACCAGTGAACCTGACAAGCATTCACTCCTGGTGGGAGACTTCAGGGAAGATGATGACACCGCATTGTAAAAGGCCATAGAGAGTGCTGCTAGTTTAACTTGTCATGCACTGACACAGCATTCATTATGTCACCTTCACTTTTTAAGATATTGTGAAAGGATTTTATGTTGTTATCATGCTCTTATATTAGGGATTCTGTTTGAGTTACCTTTGATGACAAAAATACCTTATACAGGGCATGAGCTCTGAACCTAGCTTTATTTAATCTGAATTTCCAATATTTTTTTATTTTTACTAGCAACAGATTAAGTAGAGCAGTGAGGTTTACAGCAAGCCCTACAGTTAGAGATTGCTGAATTGCTGCTAAACTGACAGTTTTTTATTTAACCAAAAAAATAGCCCAGGAAGAAGATAATTAAAAATTTGAAGATTCGAGAGCATGACTTTGAAGATATTATTGAGCCTATATTCCTGCCCCATTGAGGAGCAATGACTTTCAAAGCACTGTGTATGAAGCATCTAATTTTAGAAAGGAAACAGTTAAACTGTGTAAAAATAGATGTGCCTTATTTATTGCAGGCTTTCTATCCCCACCGTTCTCCCTTCATTGTTGTCCTTACAGTTGTTTTCTCAGATGCTGCAGTTTGTCTTATTTCGTTATCTACTTTTGAGTGAGCCAAGTATAGGTGATTTTTCATTGATTAAAAATAACTGACAGCTGGGCTCGGTGGCTCAGCCTGTAATCCCGCACCTTTGGGAGGCTGAGGTGAGTGGATTGCCTGAGCCCGTGGGTTCGAGACCCACCTGGGCAACTTGGTGAGACCTCATCTCTACAATAAATAAAAAAAAATTAGCCGGGCGTGGTAGCATGCACCTGTAGTTCCAGATACTTGGAAGGCTGAGGTGGAAGGATCGCCGGAGCCCAGCAGGTCGAGGCTGCGGTGGCCGGGAGCGGCCGCTGCACTCCAGTCTGGGCAACAGAGTGAGACTCCAACTAAAAAAAAATAAAAAATAAAATAACTGACAACTTTTTCAGTATCTTGCTCCCTTTTAAATTTTGTAGCTCAAAAGAACTTAAGGGTCTGTAGGGTTCCCTATTTCCCACTTTTCTAGTGTTATAAAAAATATATTAGATTCACTCGTCAACCTCCCTAGCTCTATGCTAGCTTTCAGTTCACTCCTGCTGAGTATGGTTCTCAGTTGCTCCTAGTGAAATCTATCTGTCTCAGTCCAGAAACAATATTTTGAGCCTCTTCTGCTCAGAAAATGTTCAGAGATTAAGACTATTATCTTTAACATATAGGGGGCGCCACGCGTGGTGGCCCAACCCTTTATTCCCAGCAATTTGGGAGGCTCAGGCGAGAGGATTGCCTGAGCTCAGGGGTTTGAGATCAACCTGGGCAACTTGGCATGACCTCTACTCTACAATAAATTTAAAAATTAGCTGAGTGTGGTGGTACACACCTGTAGTTCCAGCTACTTGGAAGGCTTAGGTGGAAGAATCGCCAGAGCCCAGCAGGTTGAGGCTGTGGTGGCTGTGAGTGTGCCACTGCATTCCAGCCTGGGTGACAAAGTGAGACTCCAACTCAAAAAATAAAATAAAATATATATACGGGTCATATAAAATTATCTGGATTTACTAAATTTGTATTTTTTGGTTTGAATGCAATCACTTTGTTAGTATATGTAATTTAATAGATTTTAATTATCTTTTAGTGTTTCAGATAACCTCTCAAGAAGACTTTAAAATAACGCTAGTATACAAAGCTGCATTTATCAAATAACAGAGTAAATTGTAATACAGAAATTAGACTTTCCTAGGTTATGATGCTTTTTTACCCAAATATATACTTTTGTCAAGTTTAAAACATTTGCACTTGCCTAGTTATGGTGGTTGGCAATTTTAGGGGCTTGTTCCCATTGTCAGATGGATTTAGAAATTCCCCTGTGAGTGCCCGTGAGCTAATACACTGGACAGAGATCTGGTACTTGTATGACTATTTAAATCCTTATTAATTGCAATATGAATTTCATATATTGAATGTGTAAATGAAGAGAATTCATAAGTAAATTGCTAACATTGCGTTCCCATTGCCATAAGCAATGCTGCTAATATAATGCCTGGCATATAGGATTTATATTTAGTAAATATTAGCTCTTTTCCTCCCTTGCAGTCAGTAATAAATATAAAAAATTGTTTTTATAGAGCAGAGCCTAAAATCAGGTGGTAGTAGGGGATGGAGTTCTTTCTCTCCTACCCTCTTTCTCTTTTATCCTTTCATGTACACACACCTAAAGTTGACAACATTATCCCATGCTGTCTTCTCAGATTTGGAGAAGATCTAATTTGTCTCAGCTATCTTAAAGAGAGAACTATAGCTTTTGATGATGGTGCTGTTAATCTGGAAAAGTAAACCGATTTTAGTGAAATGTGAATGAATTTGTATATTAGGCCCTTTTTTAGATCAATGGCCATGCCATCTTCCATGCTTCCAGTCTGAGTTTTAATATTTGTTTCTTATTTTAATTCTAGTGGCCCATCATAACACTACTTGTTTCTTCTAGAAGAAACAGCTGATATGGCAAATGTATAATATTGAAAAAAGAGTCATATCTTTTTCCCTCCCATTCCATCTCCTTCCCCCTACCTCAAGCAGTTGAACATCCCCAGTTACTACTTTTATTATTATGTGTGTATTTGAGTTGTTCTTTTAGCAACCCACATGCACATTGTAGGACAATGAGAGTAGCATTTTATAGACTGAGAATAATCAAGGATATAATTTCAGCTCTCACTACAAGAACAGGGCATGCTATACAGAAAGAGCCCTGGTTTCTCTCACCCATGCCAGCTCTGGCATGTCTCCCTTTCTTTCCTCTCTTCATTTCCTAATAAACCTTGTTTTAAAACTTAAAAAAAAAAAAAAGAAAGAGCCCTGCTTTAAGTATATATAGCCACATTTGAATTCTCTTCCACAAGTCTCTTTTTGCAATCTTGAACTCCCATTAGCTTCAGAGAAAAGATGTATTCACAGGAGAGAGAAGTGATTTATGGCGGGAATCCAAAACATTACTTTCAATTGGTAACTATAAGTCACTAGTTACCAGTGAGAGCAAATATAAATGTGTGTTTATGTGTGTGTGTGTTTATTCACATACATTCAGTATACACACATATATACATGTACATGTACACATATTACCATACAGGAGGAAAACAGATTTATATTTGAATTTTATATTTAGAGTTCCTTATTTGTATTTCCTTTATCACTCTTCTTTATTCACTTAGCAACCATGCCCTAGTCTGAAGATAACAGGGACACTTTGATATCCAGTGCTGTTTCAGACTCACAAATGGGGCACCTTTAAATATCCAAAGATGCCTTTTGGATTTCAAAGATTAAACACAGTTAGAATATTTGATATTGTAGTTTAAGTAAGTATGGTTGTCAGTTTTGAAAATAAAAATGTTATTTTTCCTAGTTTAGTATCAACATTTTAAAATGTTAAATTTGATGGCTTGTGAACAAATAATTTTATATTGTGCTTTAATTTTTTGAAAAAAGATCCAGATGTATAGAATGCTTAAGATAGCACTGTGGACAAGGTGTTTCCAAAACTTTGTGTGCGTATCTTTTCTGTATTCAGCTTAAAATCAAAAGTATATATTAGAGATTTTCCCCCATTGTGGATCTTGCTTTAAAATGATTTTTCTTAATATTTATTTTACTCTATTTTGTTATTTGGGTGAGGCATCTGGTTACTGGTTATTTTAAAAAGAATAAAGACATTCCTGCAATCACTCCCTTTGGGTTTGTTTGTCTTATTTTTCCATATTTTAAAGTATTATTTTACCAAACACAAAAAAATAGATTTGTGCCAAATTATCACCTATTCATCTACTAACTTTCTGAAGCGTCTCAATCTGGTATGACTAACCAGATAGAGCACAAAGCATGAATTCTTGTTCTTCAATTAAAAGAACTTCTTTAATGGCATTGGTATTAAATGCCTTTGTAGCCAAAACCAGGCGTCTCAACCATATGATTTTAGTTAAAGAAATGTTTAGCTAAACCTTGTTAACCATTGATTGTTTGGTACCCAAAACAGCAGTGGACAATATTGTGCAATATTTATTTACTGTAGTCACAATATTTAGTAGTTTGTTTTTCCATAAGCATGTAATTGATCATGTATCTGCCAATGATGTGCCTTCAACTTTATAATTATAGTGTTACAAAATTTGTCAGTCTTTTTTGTTAAATCATCCACCACCCCCACCCACCAGCAGTTCCAAACTGCTTTTGTGTTTTTGTTTTTTTTCTAACTGTTAATCTACAATGTGGCAGGATTTGAAGTAGCACCATGCATTTGGTAAGGGTGGGAGGGAAGAAAGCTGTTTTCCTTCAGATTCCACTCCATCTGTTGTATCATTTTGTGATGGCAAGAAACAAAGAAATATAATTGCTGTTCTTTTCTTTGTAGTCTCTAATACACTCTTGACAGAATGTCTACCCCAAATGAGCTAAACACACAAGAGTTTTTCTTGTCTTTAAGTGAGCCCCATACAGCATATTTAAAGATCCCATCTAAGATACAGTCCCGTACCAAACATTCCTTTAACTTAAGGAAAGGGTTTTGAAAGGGTAAAAAGCCAAAAAAAAAATAGAATAATTTTAGTCATAGTGACAGCCATTTTAACACTGCTTAGTTTTGCCATGCTTTTGAAGAAACATACCGATTTCCAAGGGTGCAATTTCCTGACAATTATTTCTAACCCCTGGCAAGTTCCTCCTTACTAATATATTCTTTTTTTTTTTTTTTTGAGTT